TTCTCTGAAAGTCATAGCAAGGGTGGAGCAAGACACCAAGCTTTATCTTCCAAATTCAATCTGTTTCTTTGACTTTATCATGAATTTGAATAATCCTGGGGTAAAAAGTAGAATATTGTCACCAATTTAAAACATTTTATAACTTCATACATCTTTATTTTCATTTTTTTCTGTTTGTCTTAGTCATTTTCATATTAAAATCTTAAAACTATACGAGGCATGTGGGAACAAGCCTGTAATCTCAACAAACAGGGAGGGTAAGGCAGAATTGCAAGGGTGAGCACCCAGAGTGGGCACCTTAGGGAGACCCTGCCTCTAAATAAATAAGTAAGTAAGTAAGTAAGTAAATAAGCCAGCCTGGGCACCTTAGGGAGACCCTGTTTCTAAATAAACAAACAAACAAATAAATAAATATCAGACTGGGGATGTAGCTTAGAGGCAGAAGGCCCCTGCATTCAATCCCCAATACAAAAATAGGGTACTTTTATTTTGATGTCAAAACCATTTAAAAATGGCTTTGTCTACATGTCACAGATTTTGATAAGTAGAATTTTCCTCATTCAAGAATTATAACTATTTCAAGGTTTCTGTCAGTAACATGGTATTAAGTTACTATTTTGAGTAAAGAAAATATTGGCCATTGATACATTTACTTTATTATACATAAATTTAATAAAATTTAACATTTAATGTTAATACACATATCTGATGCTCTTGAACATGAACAATACTACTCATGAAAAAATTTGTAAATAATCTAGCTAGTTGGTTGGAGCAAAATACAAACATAGCAAAGCTGCATATTAAATCTCCTGTGAGGAAACTGCATGAAAGAAAACTACTTTATTATTAAAGACTGACCCATAATCTCATTAGTCATTTCACATGCAACTTATTAAATAAAGAAGTTTTAGTAAGATCCATCAATTCTGGGGGATGGTGGTGGTGGAATTCAAGGCAAAGATCCTGTTATCAGTTGTAAAACACATTTGGCAGAATTTGTGGACATACTCAACCCATAACAATCTAAGTAAATGGATTATATGTACCTGTTCTTCATTAGACGAACCTCTCTCTTTCGTGCTGCTTCTTCAGCAGGCTGTGTAGGAAGTGCTGGGGAGGATGCCATAACAACTCCAGGGGCAATGGTGCTAGTAGGTGCTGTGCGAATCTGATATGTTTGTACATCTCCTGAGGCAGCTGAAAAGAATGGTGAGCAAGGTGTAAGGCACAGAAATGAAGTGACTTGATTCAGCTGTGTGTGTTAATCATCAGTCTAAACATACTTTTTGAATTAGAAAAGAAACAATAAGGAACAGATGATTCTGGCTAAAATGTTGAAAAAAAAATCAGCACTCTTTGGGTCATTACTGAGAAATAAACCCCAGTTTAATGTACTTATTAGTATAGACACTCAGGTGAAATACATCTAAACCTATGTCTGCTGGGTCTTATATTTATCTTTCATTGGAATGTAGTTCTATTCTGTTAACATGCTTACCAACCTTAAGTCTAAAAGGGAAGTAGGGCACAGCTTGGATGATCTTCCTAGATAGAGTATAGTCCTCAATGTCTTCCTTTGATATTGGTAAATTCATATTAAAAAATTTCAAGTAGACTCTTGCCACGACATAAAAACGACCATGATTTTTCATAAAATAGCAAAATGGAAGAGAAAATAAAGCATTATGGTCAACTATTGTAAACTTCTAATTCAAACAAAACTGAAAGTATGAAAAAGTGTACTAATTGATGCCAATTTTATTTGTAAACATTGTTTTAATATAAATGATAATGGCTAGATAAACTCTTAAGTTTTAATTTCCTAACTAAACAATCCACCATTTGTGAAAAGAAACAATCACTGTTTGTCAAATTTCTTCTAATATCAGCTTAATATGCTCTCCTAAGAATAAGGAACCTAACATTTGAGAGAATTTGAAGGTCTTTATATAAAATTATTCATATTAGATATCAATATCAATTAAAATGTGTAGTTTGAGTGGAAAAGATTTATATACTAAACATGTTACCATCTTCAAACTGACGTTCAGAATTCAAATTCACTGACATCCTGCTTTACATTTTTTGAGTACCTGCATGTAAAGTGAAAAGGTGTTTTATTCCCATTAATAAGCAAAATATCTTTTTCAAATATTATTTGTTTAAAAACAGAATATATTCTGTAATTACACTAGGGCCCTTTAAATAAATTATGATTCTCTAGTTGGTGTTTTAGGATTATCCAAAGGTAATTATCCATGGCAAAGGGATACAACTGCCACTACCTAACATAGGCAAAATGCATTATTATTAATGAAAATATTTTTAGAAACAAATTATTATTTCCTCAATCTACAAATTTCCAATCTGGCATAAATTATATTGTTGAAATATTCAAACAGATTCAACAAAAAATAGTCAATTCCTATCCATATATTTCTGAAATAAATGTAACAAAAAAAATTAAAATAAAATAAAAAAATCTACTTTATAATTCCTCAAGGGTTTAACTATTACTTTTCCTTCCAAGACCGGTGGACTTGCATACTCGTGTGTGGTCTTTTGGAATATAATGTTCCTATACAAAATATAATAATTTCAGAAAAGAAGACCTAAGTTTCTTTTGAATAAAAACAAGAGAAACAGAATTGTGGACCTCCAAAATTCTTATTTGATTTAGCGCAATTTCATTTAATAAATGAAAAACAAACAAAAAGGCCCAGAATAATTGGATCCTGCTCAGTCACAAAGCAGATCCATTCAGAATTACATCTAAAAATCCATCTTTCCTGACTTCTGATTTCATTTTTTTGTTCTAACCTACCCTGTTTCTCCTGTTCCCAAACAGTAAAGGTGTTACAGATAGACACTATATTTTTAAATACTAAAAATAGTTGTTTTTATGCCATGACATTTTGGTCCAATTTTGGGATAATGGAAGAGTTCATGGAAAATATTATCTATATCAAAGAAAAATTGACTACATTTTAGTTGTGCTTTATAATACGATACTTACTTTTTCTGAGTTTATAAAATTTTAATCTTTTAAAGAATTTATCACACCTGTGAATTCTGAATTCCCTTACCTTGAACAACAACTTGGTTGCTGGGCACTAAGATCTGTTGTCCATCAGTGGTCTGTGCATACTGTAGAATGGTAGTACCCGGCTGAGTGGCAGCTGCATTGGTCATGGTTAATGTTTGCAGACCCTGTACCCCATCGGTACCATTGTTAGCCAGCTGTATTGCTCCTCCCTGGGTAATGGCAACTAAAACCCAATGGATTTTATTGTTACAAGTTTAATTAATACCATGTAAGACCTTTAAGACACTCTAAATTCAATGTAGAATAATTTGTAAGGCATCATCTAGGAGAAATTATCACAATGAATCTTGGTATCCCCAAGTAGTTTTCTACTACTCTATGAACTGCATTACAATTTATAATATAATGCTGTTAATGATTTTTTAGAAACAGTAAGAAAATATCAAATTCCTTTTGGAATTATTTGGTTACAAGGATATTCTGCCTATGATCCACACTTTACTTTATTCTAGTGTTAACCATAAAATATATTGTTTAATATTTGTTGGGCAAAAACTAAATAAATTACTTGAGGGTAGGAAATGTGATTTTTCTTCTCTACCTTTAAAAATCTAGACTTTATGCTCTCAGCACAGTGGTGGGCCTGTAATAGTCACCCAATAAATGGTTATTTTAAAATGTAATCAATAGGGCTGGGGATGTGGCTCAAGCGGTAGTGCGCTTGTCTGGCATGCGAGCGGCCAGGGTTCGATCCTCAGTGGCACATACAAACAAAGATGTTGTGTCTGCCGAAAACTAAAAAATAAATATTAAAAAAAAAAAAAAAATCTCTCTCTCTCTCTTTAAAAAAAAAAAGTAGTCAATAAAGCAGCTCATCAGTGCATTCCATTTATCTCTTCTAGCAACTCATAAAATACATCAAAAGTCTACTCAATTATCCAGGTGTGGTGCACACATCTGTAGTTCCAGCTACTTGGAAAACTCAGGCAGAAGGATCACTTGAGCTTAAGAGTTCAAGATCATCTTTGGCAACACAGAACCATCTCAAACAAACAAAAGCCCACTCAATGAAACAACTGAAAAATAGATGGAACTCAGCACAAGAAACCTCTTGTGGAGCTTAAAGCTAGAACTCAAGATCATTATTTAGAAACAAAAACAACCAGTATGATGGTGCACACCTGTAATCCCATCAACTTAGGAGGCTGAGGCTGAGGCTGGAGGATCACAAGTTTAAGGCTAGCCTCATCAACTTAGCAAGGCACCAAGCAACTTATTGAAACCCTGTCTCAAAATCAAAAATAAAAAGGGCTGGGGATGTAGCTCAGTGGTTCAATACCCCTGGCTTCAATCCCTGATAAAAACTGAAATCACCTGTATGCTACAGTACATGGAAAAAGTTAATAGAAAGAGAAGCTATCTTTTCTTGGAAGACACAGATACTAACATAAAGAAATTTAGTTCATTCACAATCTCCCTGCTAAGGGTCAGGTTTTCCAGAAAGAGGAGGAGGAAAAAAAAAATCACAGTATTACATATAAAATCACATAAGGGTTTTAACTGAATTAAGAGACAAGTAAAAAATATGAGATCAACAGATCCGACTTAAATACAGTACTGTCCATTAGAAGGGAATTAGTTTGGGATCAACTGCCTAAGCTCTGGAAAACTACTAAGTCATCAATAAGTACATGTAAAGTTGATTATTTACTGCTCAAATGATTAGTTTAGCAAAATAATACTTGTGGACATTAAGACATTGGCATTTATAATCCATCCACTTTAGTAAATCTCAGACAAGGGGAAATATTGGATTATATAAGAATTAATCTAATTCTGTAAGATTACTTGAGAGAATCAGAAGGTTAACAAAATTAATCTACAATTTCACATATAGAGTTAATATGCAAATTCTATTATGTTTAACATATTACTTTCTTTTTGGTTACAGCCATGAATTCAATGTGGGAGGAAGGAAGAAAAAAAACTATACTTGGAAAAGGAAAAAAAAACAAAAAACAAAAAACAAAAAACAAAACTACACTTGAAAATATTTGGGCTATAGTCCAAGTTCTGTTACTAAATCATTACTTGATTCTCTTATCTCTTCTGTAAAATAAACACATCTAGTTGTAGCCACAAAATATAATTGCTGTAAGCATTAAATAAGGTCATGTATATCAAAGTACTTTCAAAACTGAAGTCTGGTCCTACTGACCATATTTTCCTATATAACACTGATTTATACATTTGATTATTCCAAAAGGATTTCAGAGTTTCAATAAAACACAACTAAAAAGATAGAAGTCAAAAAACTGTTATGTCTCTAGGTTTACATAATGATCTACTAGAAAAATCTAGACTTAAGGAAATATAATAAATTTAGTTGAGATTCCATACAACATGTAAATGTATAAGACAACATGTGTATGGTAAACAGAAGGAACTAAGGGATATTTCACCTTACTATTGAAGAGGAACATTTTAAGTTTTATTAACACTCTAACACTTTACCACTTGAATTGTGACATGTTCATTTATTGAGCTAAGAATTATAAATGCTGTTGTAAATGTATTAGTTATATTGTTCCTTAATGAAAAATCAACTTGTTCTATCAAAAACTGTGTGTGCACATACAGAGAAGAAATAAAAATAAAGCTTTTAAAAATCTCAAAATGTTAATCTCTTGAAATTATTTTTGGTAGCTGGAGAAGGGTGTGCAAAATTAGACATTTAGGGGGATAATGGGAGTTCTCTAAATTTCACTTCCGTCTTTCAGATTTCTGGTATGTCTGTTTCCTAAAAAGCATACTTTCTAGTTCAAGTGAGAACTAGAAAGTTCTCCAGTAGTGAATCTGTTACCAAAGGGAATGTTATACCCCAGGATGCTAAAGTAGGCAAAAATAAAAGTCATGTGTGCTGTAAAATCACATCTTGAATAAAGATGTTTACCTGGACACAAAGCAAAAAAAAAATACACACACACACACACACACAGGTATAGATATGTACCTCTTTGCATCTGTCAACAAGAAACTTAAGGAAAAAAAGAATAACTAAGCTTACTGTAGTAAGCTTACTTAAGCTTACTTAAGCTTACCAGTAGCTTTGTCTGACTATCAAAAATTTTAGCTCTGAGAGAGCTAAAAAGTTTGCTACTTGAGAAATCTGTTTTTAAGACAGAATGCAAATTACTGTTAGGCAAACTGACATTGGGTTAAAAAACAAAAAGTAACCTAGGTGTCAAGCATTAGGCACACTAAAAGGCAAAGGTATTGAGTAAATAAAAGAGTACCATTCATACATTTTCATTTGAAAATGCAAAATTCGAAAGTACTTTACAATAGATTGAGGTGAAAGATAAGAAAAAGTAAGAGGTAAGAAGAGACCTCTAAGTGCCAGATAGAGACAACATGAAATGAAAATTTGAATAATTTTGTAATAGAAACCTTTGCTTTTTGTGAGCCAAAAAACCAAGTATCCAGTTAATTTTCCTTGTGTTTACATAATCTTACTTTGCTATACTACCTTTTACATGAAAAGAAATAATAATTGAATGTGCTAGCAGACTACAACAAAGTCAACCCCACCCCCCCTTGAAACATTATTAAATATGAATATTTTTAAATGCAACTTTTGGAAGGTAAGATAAAGTATTAAAATAGATTAATAGTAAGAGCATCTTTGGCCTTAAACATAGTCAAGGTATAATTTTTTTTCCTTTATCTGAAAAAACTCATGCTATTCTTGATATTATGTGAAAACTAAAATCTTTTTTTGCTGCTGGTACTGGGCTTGAATCCAGGAACCATACATTCTAGGTAAGCACATTTATCACTGAGCTACATTCCTAGCCTGAGGACTAAAATCTATAGAGGTTCATTTAGTTCTTCAAAAAACTTTAGATTATGCATCTGCATAAAACAAAGGAACATGTAAACACCTCACATAATTGAGTAATCCTAAATAGAACTCTGAAGAAAATACTACTATTACATATAGACCTCTGCATATTAAGCAATAGAGGAAATATAAAGTGGCAGTAAGAATGAGAAAAAAATTGGAAATTACATAATTCCCTTAAAGAGAATAAAACGTTAATTTTTCTTTTCTCTTTACAAAACAGAAATATCTATTACTCACTATACTGTCCACTGCTAGTTTGATAAATCGGAGTTGGCACTGTTACAGTGGTGATGGCAGGGGCTGAAGTCTCCTCTTCAGACTTCTCTTCTTCAATCCTTGGCACTCCTGGTGCATCAGAAGATAAATCATTCAGAATTTTCCTAGAAAAATAGAGAACTACCTTAATTAAAAGTAAAATTTACTGTCTAAATACAACTAGTAGTTAAAGATTAGAAAATTGGCAGAAAGGTGGTTAAAACAGAAATTTAAAAATTGTTTTTATTTTATACTCAACTTCAGACATTTTACAGTTATCACTACCATTTTATCCTGTTTGTTTCAGCTTATTTATTTTCCTATCCATGAGGGTACTTATCTGTTAAGGTTCTGTCACTTGAAAATTTGATAAGCACAACTTCTATGTTTTTCTGCTAGATTGCTGCTAAAAATATCAAGCCAAATGAGACCAAGAAGAGTGCTTTTCAAGTACTTCCTCTGGATATAAATTTATCACTATAAAGATAGAAAGTTGTTCCAATAAAAAATGCATCTTCTATTATCAATTAATTCCTATTTCTCCAGCCTTACACATATATATTAAGAACTTGAGTAGATACCGTACTATAATCAAGACACAGAGGCTAGATTTCAGGAATTCATAAACTTAAACTAAAGGTGCCCTAGTGGGGAGTTTGATTGTAAGTGAAGATGTCATTATCTTTAATAACTCTTTCTCTGGATTTCCCAAGTAGATTTCCCAGAGAGAAGTCAAATAACTGTTATGTCTCTAGGTTTACATAATGATCTACTAGAAAAATCTAGACTTAAGGAAATACAATAAATAAACTTAGTTGAGATTCCATACAACATGTAATTTTAATCAATTAAAAGCATCTTTTGATTGATCATTAAGGTGTTACTATTTAAATGACCTTTACTACAATGTAGGCTGCAAGCCAATTAAGAAAAATTATGATATTTTTCAATAAAAAACCTCATGTTAAAAGGCCTATAGCTAATATTTGCCTAAAATTTATAGAGAAGCTCTATGCATACCTGGCTGGATCTGCTTCAGGATTGAAGGTGTTATATATACTATCATGAGTTATACTTTGAAGTTAAAATCTAACACTAGTTATATTAAAACAATAGAAACTATTAGCATAAAAGCATACAACATATATCTAGTATCATAAAAGTTAAGCCCTCAAAACAATTTATTTATATTTACTTAGGATCCTTAATCTAAATGTGGGGATAGAGAAAGGGGTTGGCTTAGTAGCTAAACAAGTGGGAGCAGGGAGTGACAACCACCTCATCAAAAAAATTGACATATACATAAATAGAAATGTTAGACTAATAAAAAGGAAGATAATTATAAGTCATTAAACTCTAAATTATAATTCATTAAACTCTAAGGTAAATTAATCAATATTTTTGGAATTGTCCTTCCTGCAGATGTTTCTACATATGACGAATGGTTTTTGTCTACCTTGGAGACAAAGCATGGACTAAGCAACATCTATAGCTGAAAACAAAAAGTATAGTATGGTGCCTCTAAAATTAGAGAATGTCAGCAAAGCATCACCCTAAAACAACTAATAAATAGTTATCTGCTAAGTACCATGGCATAAAAATGGCTTGTAAACATGTAGCCACGTAGATGAATAACAGCCTCAGAACTGACACATAACTAGAAAATCCAATAACTATCAAATGTATTTTTTTAAATAAAAAAGCAGCACCCAGCAGTCTACAAAATCAGAACCAGAAAAAAGTAGTGTTTATCCAGAAATGCTCAGAGTTAAGAATAATTTATTTTATAAGACAAGCTTATTCTATATGATAAACTTATTTGGGAAGTAACTTGAGATAAAGATAAATCACCTATAATACTGGCTTGATCAGTAAACCAATCTTCTGACATATCTTTACCTGCAACTATCTAAGGCTTCCTGTACATCTTTGATTCCAAGTTCTAATTATTAAATTTCATACCTGTAGGAAGGTCTCCTTGAAAGAATCTCCCTTCGTTTTTGAGAATCAGTTACACTATCCACTGACTCTTGTGAATCTTCGCTTTCTGCAATAGTTGAAATCTGAAAATAAAGAAGAACTTGATCTTGATAATCAAATTTAGTTTCCAAAAAATTTCATTAACTTTATGGTTGAATACAAAAGAATACATATATTTAAGTCTTATACATGGTTAGGTTTTTAATGGGAGACAACCGCACCAACCACTCTCCCCTCCCTTCCCCTTTACTTAACTTATAGAATATTTAAATTGAATTTAGAGAAACCAAAATATTTGTCCTGAAAACATCTGTCCTTAATTTCTTTCAAGACTCCATGTAATCAATCCTGAACTCATCAGTATTATTTATGTCAGGTTTTTCTTGTCAGCTGTTAGGACACAACTGCCAACTTAAACAAGGTTTCTGACATTAGGGAAGGAATGACTAAATATTTGGTCAGAAGTCTATATAGAGACTATACAAATATTTCCCCTTTAATTCTGATGCAAACACTTATGCACTACTTAAAATTGTACAAATAAAATTAATGATCCCTCACCACATTCCCCAGTTGTTTCTAGCAAGTAAGGGAAAAATCCTGTTTCATATAGACAAGTTTAAAAGTTGGCATTCTACAATTATTTTTTAAGCTAAAATCCAAGGTAAAGAATCATGCATTTCTGGTAAGCATCCCTAGACTGAAAATAAATGAAGATATGTGAATAAAGATTTTACATGGGATAATAGAAAAAATAATTTACTGAAAATTTACTATGTGTCAGGTGCTATACTAAAGCACTGGCATATATTTATATCTAGTACATTACTTAGTACAGTAACATCAGGCACCAGATAGTTACTAGTACTATATCCATATTATAGATAAAAGAACTAAAGCACAAAGAGGTTAGGTAACTCACCCAAGTAACAAAGCTATGAAGAAGTAAAACTCCTGTTAATACTTAGCATCTCTGTTTTAGACATCCTTACCAGCATCAAAATCTTGCTGGTTCCTTCCAGTCTCATTCCAGACTATTTCAGTCTGAAACCAGTACTGTCAGAAGCAACAACCCAGTAGCATTTTTAGACTGTTTCTAAACTAGAAGTTCTCTCACCTAAATGTGCTTGTCTGTCAAATTCATATTTACAGATTTCTATAGTCTAAACTGTAGGGGTCACATACTCTTTTCCGAAAGAGGTGCACATGATGCTATCAGAATTAGAATTAGATTTAGCCAAGACAAAGGGATCTGTGTGGGTTAGGTCCACATCAAAATATATGACCATGGCAATATGAAAAATCGTAAGTACTTCAAAGATACTTGACAAATTCCAAAGATATTCTGTATGCAGTCAGAGCCTAAGGGTTCTAGAGAATAGACATTCACCTTACAAAGAAATCAGTTAAATCTAGTAATGCTTTGTAAAATACACCTATAGTAAAGTATTATGTCCATCAAACTTTAAAGTATATGATGCCTAGTTTGAAAGACCTAAGAATCAGTAGGCAACAATTAATGGATCCAGAAATGATGG